AAGGGAACTGGAAATTTTTAATAAAAAATATATATCTTTAATCTTTGAATAATCTTGATGGAATGAAAGATCAGACGGTACAAATACAACGGTTTGGAAACACTAAAATAGAATAAAAACGTGCCCAATTGAAAATAACGGAGGTGCAGTTTGGATGAAACCAGGGGCGGAGCTAGATGGGGGGCCAGGTCAATCATTGGCCACCCCTACCATTTATTTCCATCTAATACAGATGGTGGCAAAAGTAAAACTTTCAAGTGGAATATTCAAACATTTTAATTTTTCATATATTAACAATTACTTGACAACAAAAACACTGTGGCTAATTATGCACATCAATATACTAACATTAAAGATGATCAGTAGAGAATTCATGCTCTTTTCAGAAATAGATTTTGAGTTTTATGGGGTCAAGAGAAAACGATGCGTCTGGGCAAGTCATCTAGGAGTCTTCAGTAAAATAATAGATAAATAACTAGTTTGATAAAAACTTATTAAATAATCAATTTATGCAGATATTAGTACTTGTAAATATCAATTTTATGCAGAATGATTATTGATAAAAGAAGGTAAGAAATGACGATGGAAAATATGTTTGCCCCAAACTCAAACTTGAAAGAATTTTATCCACTTTACCTTTTATCTAGAAAGCAGGGATGTTTGTATATGTTTGTCTATTTGTTAGCAAAAGTTGTGGGAAAGTATAGTTTGTCTTTATTTAGAAAATATGGACGTTGTGCTCGTTAATTTCCTGTTGGAACAGTGAAGACTGACCCTGAGGTTTTGGTGCCTATCTACTTTCGGCCGCCCTTATAAAAATCTTCTGGCTACGCCCCTGGATGAACGGACCTAAGCAGAACCATAGATATCCATAATAAAGGCTAGATGTCTTACGGCGGAGTCTCAAACGTCATCACCGGGCGGCCATCTTACCACAGGCAGGCTTTCTGTTGTGCTCTGTGGTACTTAATGTAAGGTGAGTGATCAGCACGGACACAAATACTCTTATCTCATTGAATTCTTGACGGATTTACAAACAGTTTGGTTTCTTACAAACGTTATGAACGTGGCTATAATTCTTGATGCTTGAACATGTCGAAATTGCAGATTTTCTTGTCGAAAAATGACTTGATCGTGCAGCATAGTTGTTCATCACGGTTACTTGCGCAAGTTATCAATAACGATTGTATGACAATTAATCTTTAGTGTAAATTACAATCTTTGTGGATGTGGTTGTAGCTATTAGTTGGCTAATAACAATAATCTGAGTGTTGTTGGATTTTCATTATTAGCCTAACGTTAGCTGGCTAATAACAAGAAGCTGCGAAGTGAGACCTAAAGTTAGTAAGTTAGCAGCTAACGTTACAGTTTAGCTAGCTGCTAACGTTAACCAGCAACTTTGCATCAGTGGAAGAGGCAGAATTTATACATGATTAATGCATTATTTCCAATCGATTTGGTTTGTCAAAACATCTTACATTATGTTACAGGAATTTGCTGGGTCTATTAATAGGAAGATGCCAGACTTTTGTGCAGCCTACGGATGCTCCAATCGCCATAGTGTCAAAACGAGTGCCAGTGGGATCACCTTTCACATGTAAGATATGAAATTATGATTGGTTTTTGGGATAATCGTTAGTTAATTAGTGGATGTATGTACAATACAGGCTCTGGTACACAGGAACAGCGGGGCTATGACTTAATAGTATTACAAGATTGCCAATAGTCAAAACCTGAGGGAAATCAATATCCCAATGGCCCAAAAAGATAAATGTTCCCTTAATTTCCCCATGGTTATTATAAATTATTTTAATAATACAACTCTTATTTCAGGATTTGTTGTGCGACGGGCTCTGAAAAAGCTGTCCTGTGATGTCTGCCGTGCCAGCTTGGTAACAGATGCTGCATCTGCCATCAAGGACCAGAACTACCACCTGCTGAAGTTAAAAAACAATGGAGGTCTGGTGATTCCATCAGAAGGCACAGTGATGGTAGTCAGGGCAGCAGAGTGGGTTCTTCGTCAGACCTCATGTACCAGACGATCACAGCCCATAAAAGTGCTAGAGGTCGTGTACATTGTACGGAAGAGGATAGGGTCAGAGGATGTGTTTGTGCTTGGAGAGCACATCGGAGAAACGCAGTATGGCATAGACAGCCACCACCATACGCTGTTAACATTGGTTGTGTCCTTGTTTTTTAAGTTAAGGCTGCACCACATTGCCAAAATAACCAACCTTGGCTTACAGAGCAACAACATGCGACAGAAACACAATAAAACCGTCCTTTTCAAAGGGCATTAACCAAGCTATGTTTTTTGGGTCATTTTTTCATCTCTGTCTTCCATGTGTATACCATCACAGTAGTGTAGGTGGGGATTTCAACAGCACATCTATATATACTTGTGAAGGGGATTTTTGACCAATTTTTAGCAAATAAATTTCATTTTTAAAGGGTTTTAAAAATGGGAACTTTTGGTAATTATGATATAAAATTCCGAATAGTCTACAGAAACTTCACAGTGCAACCTTTAATTTGAAACCTGGATTATGCTTTCCCCAAAGTTGCCACAAAATAAGCCTTTTTTGTCAGTATTTAAAAATTTATTTAACATAATATTTATATTAAAAAAGTATTTATGTAAATATAAATAAATTAGGACTGTGAAAAAATTTAATCACATCAAATAAAAGTGTTTTTAAATTTAAATATGTTTATAATATATATAATATATATATAATATATAAATATTATATAATATATAATTTTTTAAATATATATAAATATTATTATATATTATAAATATATATATAATTATATAATAATAATAAATAATAATAATAATACTTTTTATTTAAAGCGCCTTATCACAACACCCAAGGACACGTACGGGCCCCCAGATAAAAACATTAAAAACGGGGACTAAAAGTACAACAAAATCCCACGAAAACAAAACAGCAGAAAGTAAAAAAAAAACCCAAAGGGAAAAAAAAGGAAGAGAAAATATTGAATGTGCGAGGAACTAATGTAAATATTAGATATACAAAAATTATATATTATTTTATTTATTTATTATATATATATATAACAATAATAATTTATATATTATACATTATATCACTATATTGCCAAAATATTTGCTCACCCATCCAAATTTTTGGGAATCAGGTGTTCCAACACTTCCATGGCCACAGGTTTTAAAATTTAAAGACCAAGGATGCAACTGTTTTTACAAACATTTGTGAAAGAAGGGTGCTCCAGGAGCTCGTGAATTCCGGGGACTGTGAAGGGAAATGCCACCTGTGCAACAAATCCAGTCGTGAAATTTTCCCCCCTCCAAATATTCCCCAAATAAAATGTCAGCTGTATTATAAGAAAAAGGAATGTTTTTGGGGAAGACACAACTCAGCCCCGAAAAGTAGGGCCCCGTAAACTGACGGGGGGGGGTCCCGCGGGGCGACGGCATAGTGCGAAGAGGTCGCCCCTTTTGCAGATCAAACACTACAACCTCCAAACTTCATTGGCCTTTAGATTAGTAAGAACAGTGCGCAGAGAGCTTCATGGAATGGGGTTTCCCTGGTCGAGCAGCGATCCAAGCCCTACATCCCAAGTGCAATGCAAAGCGTCGGGTGCGGGGGTGTAAAAAGCACCCCCATGGACTCTAGAGAGTGGAGAGGTTCTCGGAGTGACGAAACGCGCTTCTCCTCTGGCAAACTGATGGACGGGTCTGGTTTGGCGTTTCCAGGGGAACGGTACTTGTCTGACTGCATTGTCCAAATGTAAAGTTTTGGGGGAGGGGGGATTAGGTGTGGGGTTGTTTTTTTAGGAGCGGGTTGGCCCTTAGTTCCATGAAAGGAACTCTGAAGCTTTAGCATAAGACATTTTGGACAAATTCCATGCCCCAACTTTGTGGGAACAGTTTGGAGTGGCCCCCTTTCCCCTTCCCAAAATGACTTGCACCAGTTTACAAAGCGGTCCATAAAACGGATGACAGGGGCTGGTGTGGATGAACTTACTGGCCCGCACAAGGGCCTGACCTCAACCCGAAAAAGAAAACCTTTGGGATAATTAGAGCGGGGCTGAGAGCCGGCCCCTTTTGTCCAACATCAGTGTGCGACCTCACAAATGGCTTCTGGAAGAATGTCAAAATTCCCATAAACAACTCCTAAACCTTGTGGGCAGCCCTTCCCCGAAAGTTTAAGCGTTCTGCGCAAAGGGTGGCCGACGTCATATTGAACCCTTGGATTGGAAAGGTGCACTTAAGCTCATTGGATCAAGGCAGGTGAGCAAATATTTTGGGAATTTTAGTTATATACACAATATATATTATATATTATTATATAAATTTGTATATATTTTATTGTATTATAATTATATTATATAATTTATATTTTATATATATATATATTAAATACATTGGGATATTACTTAATATATAAATAATTATATATACTTGTATATATACTTATATTATATATTTATAATATATTGTTATATAATTTTAAATTATTATATATATATATAATATATAATATATATAATAATATATATAAATAATATTTATATAAAATAATATATATATTTCTGGGACCCTATATAAGGTTTCCTTCTGTACATGGTTTTAATGATATATTGATTTAAAATAAATACCTTGTCATGTGTATATTTATTGCACCCGTATGTTTATCAGTGTTCTTTTCTATTGAAATTTAGGTTTTAATTATTCCCAATGCGCATACACACTAATGTCGACTTTTGTTTAACAAACCCAAAAGTTTTAGAATAGTTAGACAATTTAGGAAATTATGGTTATTTCAGTACATCCCCCTTGAAACACAATGCTACGAATGAGCGAGCTGCCTGTGGGAAGATGGCCGCCACTGCGGACGTAGACCCCCATTGGCCAGCAGCGCGGACGAGACATCTAGCCTTTATTATGGATATCTATGAGCAGAACTACATGAGCCAGAGGCCGGAGCCGGGCGCGCGGCGCGGTGACATCACGCGTCTCCAGTGTTGACAAGCAGGCAGGCAGACCCTCTATGGAGCCGACAGCCATTAGCCAGACCCCGACCCTCTGAGGCTTCCCGGCGATCCACGCCTGCGCCGATCCTCCCGTCTTTCTGTCATTTTTCTGCAGAATCATCCTCTGCTGCATCGCAGCTGAACATCCACCGCATCCTCAGCCGTAAACTGGCTGTAAATGCAGGACAAACCTGCAGCATAACGCTATATTTTCAATAATCGGGGTCGCTGCAGCTCAGCTGAGTGTGACGTCATTTTTTTGGTTTGTTTTTCATAGCGATATGAAGATGGGGAGCATCAGGGCATTTTTGCGGCTGACCAGGCGCGGCATGAAGCTGGAGCGGCTCAGAGAGCTCGGTAGGCAGTACCCCGTCTTCTGTTTCCTGCTGCTGCTCCTGCTGCTTTCCACTCTGCTTTTAAATAGGTAAGATAAACAGGGGTCCCTGAACGCATCACGTGTTGACCTGACATGATGCAATGATTGTTTGTCAGCTGATTTGAATGTGCGTGGCCGTTTGTTACGAAGTTTAGCAGGGGGGGGGGGGGGGGGGGGGGGGGGGAGTGGCTTTACAAAAAACAAAAAAAGAACAAAAAATAACCCCTTTTTTAGTTTTTTAAATAATAATAATTGAACATTATTGTAAACTCTAGCTTTTCTCATAGTGCTTCCTCTCTGTTTGGTGTACTCCACCTGGGGAGAAATTCCTGTGCTCTGCCCCAACACCTTTGTTTTAGAGTTGGACTGGGCCCGTTTTCCAGTGTAAAATCTGTTCTCTATGTGACTAACTGGATGTGCTCTCTTCATCCTCTGACATGGGAGCTGGCTCGGAGCTTGTCTGCCTGGCTGTGTGTTTCCTGGACGGGGCCGCTTTTTACAGTTGACATTTGAATTGGCGCTATATAAATAATTTGAATTGGCGCTATATAAATAAACTGAACTGAATTAATCTCATCATGGGCGGTTCTAGACGAGGGCCAGCAGGGGCCAGTACCCCTGTAGATCATGTCCCGGCCCCTGTTATGGCCCCTGTACTGAAGACATAATACTCAGAGAAATTCTGATGATGATCTGCGCTGGAACAGACATGGTTACTGATAGGTTCTTTGGATCTATTTAATTTTTTTTCTTTACAACTTATGTTTTACTAATTATCTAAAAACAATAAGGTGATAGCTTCAGTGGTATTGAGATATGATCCCAGTTTTCATCTGCTGAATGATTTTTTCAAAACAAATAAAAAAATACCTTTAATTTTTACAGCTGAATTTATCAGCGTTTCTTGAGTTCTAATTCAGATTTTATAGAAAACGTAAAAATATGTAAAAAATCCCTAAACTATGAATGTATATTGACGTAATAAGACATAGAATTTTAATCATACCTTGAATAGAAGTTTCACTTCATGCAGCTCTCTTAATATATTTGAATCCCTTGTCCTGTTTTATTTACCGTATTTCATGCTTTTCTGGGCCCCCATGAAAACACGCTGGCCCCCTCCTGGCCCCCTGGTACATTTGGTCTAGAACCGCCACTGAATCTCACACTGGAGAAATGTACCTCTGCATGTGCGTAGCCTGGGGAGCAACCGGGGGTTCAGGGTCTTGATCAGAGACCCAGAGTGGCAGTCTGTGGGAGTGGGGCTCAGAACCTCAGGATTCTAAGCTCTACGCCCTAACCACTAGGCCGCCACTCCCCATTTGGGGCTCTTATCTCTAACTGTAAAGACAACATATTGAATGGACTTAAGAGACATATCAGTTATGATCACTTTCATCAGTAAATCACAAGAGAGTGTTTTATTGTTACACTGCAGACATAATTTACAAAAGTTAAATGTTTTTGCTATTAATTGAGCAGGTAAAGAAAATGATCTGCTAAACGAAGGAGGATTTTGGCGCTTAAAACCAGATAATTATATACTATGTGTAGCCCTGTGCTAATTTTTGGTTTTATTTTGATGAATGGGATTGTTTTCAGTTCATTAAGGTTTTATAGTGTAACTATGTCACAAATGTTTAAAAAACGTTTTAAATGCAATTCCAAGCATTAGTAATGTTCCTATGTCTAATTTTTGTGTTTTATAAATCTTTGTATTTTATTTCTGTTTGTTATACTTGCTAAATTATTTTACTAGTTTCTGATTGGTCAAGGATCTGGGAAGGGAAGTGGAAAAAAGTACAGGTGCTGGTCATAAAATTAGAATATCATGAAAAAGTAGATTGATTTCAGTAATTCCATTTAAAAAGTGAAACTTGTATATTATATTCATACATTACATACAAACTCATATATTTCAGATGTTTATTTTGTTTAATTTTGATGATTACAAATGACAACAAATGAAAATCTCAAATTCATCATATCAGAAAATTAGAATATTACTGAAGACCAATAAAAACAAAGGATTTATAGAAATGTTGGCCAACTGAAAAGTATGAACATGAAAAGTATGAGCATGTACAGCACTCAGTATTTAGTTGGGCCTCCTTTGGCCTGTATTACTGCAGCAATGCGGCGTGGCATGGAGTCGATCAGTCTGTGGCACTGCTCAGGTGTTTTGATAGCCCAGGTTGCTCTAATAGTGGCTTTTAGCTCTTCTGAATTGTTGGGTCTGGTGTATTGCATCTTCTTCTTCACAATACCCCATAGATTTTCTATGGGGTTAAGGTCAGGAGAGTTTGCTGGCCAATTAAGAACAGGGATACCATGGTCCTTCAACCAGGTACTGGTAGCTTTGGCACTGTGTGCAGGTGCCAAGTCCTGTTGGAAAATGAAATCTGCATCTCCAAAAAGTTGGTCAGCTGCAGGAAGCATGAAGTGCTCTAAAACTTCCTGGTATGCGGCTGCGTTGAGCCTGGACCTCAGAAAACACAATGGACCAACACCAGCAGATGACATGGCACCCCAAACCATCACTGACTGTGGAAACTTTACACTGGACTTCAAGCAACGTGGATGAAGTGCCTCTCTTCTTTTCCTCCAGACTCTGGGACCTTGATTTCCAAAGGAAATGCAAAATTTACTTTCATCAGAGAACATGACTTTGGACCACTCACCAGCAGTCCAGTCCTGTTTCTCTTTAGCCCAGGCAAGACGCTTCTGACGCTGTCTGTGGTTCAAGAGTGGCTTGACACAAGGAATGCGACAGCAGAAACCCATGTCTTTCATACGTCTGTGTGTGGTGGTTCTTGAAGCACTCACTCCAGCTGCAGTCCACTCTTTGTGAATCTCCCCCACATTTTTGAATGGGTTTTGTTTCACAATCCTCTCCAGGGTGCGGTTATCTCTCTTGCTTGTACACTTTTTTCGACCACATCTTTTCCTTCCCTTCGCCTCTCTATTAATGTGCTTGGACACTGAGCTCTGTGAACAGCCAGCCTCTTTAGCGATGACCTTTTGTGTCTTGCCCTCCTTGTGCAAGGTGTCGATGGTCGTCTTTTGGACAACTGTCAAGTCAGCAGTCTTCCCCATGATTGTGTAGCCTATAGAACTAGACTGAAAGACCATTTAAAGGCTTTTGCAGGTGGTTTGAGTTAATTAGCTGATTAGAGTGTGGCACCAGGGGCCATCAATTTTTAACCTTTTCACAATATTCTAATTTTCTGATATGATGAATTTGAGATTTTCATTTGTTGTCATTTGTAATCATCAAAATTAAACAAAATAAACATCTGAAATATATGAGTTTGTATGTAATGTATGAATATAATATACAAGTTTCACTTTTTAAATGGAATTACTGAAATCAATCTACTTTTTCATGATATTCTAATTTTATGACCAGCACCTGTATGTGTGAATGAGAGGATGGTGAAGGAGACAGCCTGCCCGGTTGTTCCTCCGGTAGACATAATCTAAGTCCGAACTTCTCCAGGCTTTGGGAAAGTATCTGCAGCCAAGTGTTCGGCTAGGACACTTTATATTGCAGTGGACTTTAGTGAGGTGCTCCGGGACACTTTCTGTTCGGTTTACTGGAGAAGCCAAGAGTTACACCTGTTGGAAAACTACACGCGACCAGCGCGCGAGCACACCAGGTTCCGAGGCAGTGAGGAAGGCCGGCTACCGTGGTGGTGAGCTTCCTGACGGCAGTGCTTGGGAACTGTAAGGTTAGAATCATCCTGGACATCGGAGAAGTTGGGGTCTAGTTTGGATAAGACGGCCGGAACCAACTACACAGTGGAGGTCGGGAGATTCTGTGCCGCTGCGGGAGTCCATGCAGGAGCTGTGTGCTGAGGGAGGAGCCACGACAGGTCCAGGCTGCAGCTGCGTGGTTAACCAGGGAGCCGGTGAACTCTACTCTCCTCTTCTATTCCACTCATCTGTGCCACGGTCAGGTACCAAACTCAGTTTCTTTTTATTTGCTCATTGAGTGAAGCGGCCAGTGTTAGTTTTCGGGCCCAACGCACCCAAGCGACGTTCAGGCCTGCAACGGGGTATTTTCTGGGTTTAGTTCTAGTGAAAGCCGGCATAGCTTAGGTTATTTACTGGCGACTTTGATTTTGCATTTGGACTAAGTGTTTGTTTATGACATTGAAAGAAACTAATGGACACTGAGTGTTTAAATTTTGAACTTTGAAAAGTATTATTTTTCCAGTTTAAAGGGTAATTGGTTGAGTTCAAATGAGAACTTGAAATATCAAGGTTTTGTATTCATTTTAAGTGTGCATCGTTTGGAGAGCTTTGTGAATTTATTTTGAGCTTTGATCCCACTCTTATGAGTGAGTGTTTTTTATTTATTGAACCACAAGGTATTCTGCCTTTTATTTAAATTCTGTAATTTCATTTAACCCTTAATTTTTTAGTAAAAAATAAATAAAAGACATTACATCTTGCAATTCATTATTTCATCTTAATATTCTTATTGGGTTAAAAAGATATATATTTACAGGAGTTTATCAAAGGTGCTCATAACCAAACCGATAAAAACGACTGCAGTTTTATCACCTTTTAATGATAGGAACTCAGGGCGCCCCATATTTAGTTGGTTTGCAGGTTATCAGAGGTTTTGCCAGCGAGGTAGGCAAAGGGGCGCTACACAAAATGGAGGCACCGCTGGGATGGTTATGAGAAGTTCGTAATTGGGTTTCTGTAGTTTTAGTGCATTTTTTAACTCTATCATTGAAATTTAAAATTTTTTTATTTTCAGTCATGGCTGATAGTAAGTTGCAGGCAGAGCTTAATGAGTGGTGTGATACTGAAGCTATTGATATTACTCATGCCATATTAGTGGTGGGGGTGGGGAAAGATCTTGAAGTAGCCGAAATTGAAGAAGAGCTACATACAGTCCGATGCTGGGGTCGTGTGAGAGTAAGGGGATCTAAGCCCTACAGTGATGGTGATGGCGTATTAGTTCTCTGTGAATGTAAAGAAGTCATTGATCCAAGAGCAGTTCCTCCTGAAGTCCGACCCAATGAGGGGGCTGT